AAATGACAATTAAACATTGTTCTACTTAAAGATACGTCGTTAGAGTAAATTTATGAAGGTAACTTATTATATTATTTATCTTTTATTAATTAAAGACTAGTGGTTGCAAATGACTGCAGGAAGTCACATGACAGACTACTACTCATTGCAAAAATATTATTCAGTACGATGTTATATTAGTTTCTTTATTTTCCATTTTAAAATGAAGAAACGGCTGTTTAAATTTAAATAACATGCGCTTTTGAACAAATGTATAATAATAATAGAGTGAAATAATACAGTCAAACCTGTGAATAACGGCCACCCACACTAAGATAAAAAATGGCCATTTTTCGCAGGTGGCCATTGTTTACAAATTATTTTGTATGCATTTTTGTTTAAAAAGTTGGCTATTGTTTAGGAGGTGTCCGTTATTGAAGATTCAACTGTATAAATAATTCTTTTACGAAACACATTAGGATATATAGTATAATGAATGCTTTTCTAAGGTAAATTTGAATTGTTTTACAGTTAAAATTACATTTCCAGAATTATTTAAATAAATATTTAGTTCTGTAGATAGCTTTCACTTGTGTTTAAACGTCTGTGTGGTTTTTCAAAGAACAAATCAAAAAGTTTTTTTCTTGTTTCTGAGATCGATAAGTAGACAACTGACAAACATAAGACAAGCGGAATAAATTCATAAGATCAATGTCATTCTGTTGTGAAATAACTAAAAAAACCTACCATAGATATCAGTGGGTTGGAATGAAAAATATTCTTCTCTTTACAGTTAGAAAGAAAAAGAAAAATGTAGTCATGTAATAAATTGAAAGGGGTGTCATGTAATAATCGTGCAATAATAAAAAACAGTCGGGTAGTTTTTCTACAGAATTTAATTTAAATTTTTTCTATTAGAATTTGTCTTTCGTCTATTTTCTGTGTTACCCATAAAAAAGAGAAAGGCAAAAACATGCTAATCGCTATCCTTTATCTGTAATTAAGGACTGACCATTCCTTTCACCGAATTAAACGGTTCAATCTCATGAAAAGTTGTTGAAAATTAAGAAAATTGAAAGTAACTTACTCATAATTACATTCTTAGTTTATATTAAGAAAAAAAATGAAATAAAGTAAAGCTGCAAGGGATTTTGCGCGACTTTCCCGGCAATCATATTTACAAAGTTAAAGTTGTCTTTGCGCCATTTGTTATGAGCTTTTATTAAAAAAATAACTTTTATATTATTAATTATTATAAAAAAGGCGTATTTTGGAGTAAGAGTAAAATTTTAAAGAAATTGTAAACGGGTAAAACTTATATTAATGTCTTATGGAGTATCAAAACGTCGAGAAATACAAAAAGCCGAGAGAGATCAAAATTTAATAATCATACTATCCCTATGTTATATTCCATAATCGCCAGAAAAATAAAACAACTTTATATAGATTATTTTTAAAAAAATCTGGCATAAATATGTAAACTTTGCTTCTGTGTTTGGCAGCATAACTACTTTATCATAATTAAAATCGACCCGAGAGCTTTGTATTTGAAGAGAGAGTCAACAAATTTAAAATGTAAATTAAGCTCAAACACGAATTTCGTATAATTCAGTTTGTTCTAATACAACATTTGATTTCTATAATATATTTATACAGAATTTGAAATATAAATACAACTTCTTATTTTCTATTCAGTTAATAAATTTGTAAGGATCGATGCGTGCTGTTTTACATAAGAATTTTACAAATTTTATAGGGTTTAATTTCATGTAAATCGAGTAATTGATAGCTGCAAAAGGTAAATTTGGTCACAGTAAAGAAATAAGAGACAGTAGAGGTCATGACGTCAAACTTTCTCCCTTAATTACAGAAACCGACGCTTGGTTACAGAACAATCAATTCACGAGTTGATCGGTCTCGTAATTAAGACAGTTGATGTCAATGACGTTTCTTCAAGCCCAAACTAGATCATTTGTCCGAAAATTGTACTAATTACGATTACTAGATGGCGTTAGAATAAAAAATATATATGTAGTTCTATATCTTTTCTTTCCTACGTACAGAATCATGCAGCTTTATTTTCTCGAATAAGAGGTCAAATTTTGACCCTTCGGTTGTTTGAATTTACTTCATGTTTTAAGGTCCTTCAATTTATTTCTTAGCAGAAATAGGTCTATGATCTCGTTTGTACAAAAAAAAAAACGAAATTCTGCTTATGTCATGGCCTGTATTGCTTTATATTTCAAAACCCCCATGGACGAAAAGTTATATATATGTGGGCATTAATGCCACATTTTGGAGATTATAAGTCGGGGGAGAAGTGTTAGGGGGTCATATCTCGATTGAGGTTAGACTTAATAAAATTTTACACGTTTAAAAACGTACCTTTACCTGGAAAATGAGACTTTGACATTTTTATTAGGATTTCTAGACATTATCATTGAAAATTATCAGATTTTATTCTGTTCGAGTGCCAAAAAAAACAGCTACAATACCCTTGCAGATTGATTTTTTAAATGTTTTATTTGTGAATTTTAACAGGTAACTTGAGCATATTTAAATAATTAATTTATGTTAATTCTTGCTTATTTTAATTCTATTTTAAGAAAAAATATTTAATTTAAGTTTTTTCGTGTTATTTCACTAATTAATTATAACTCGAGAACAAACTTTATGCAAGTTTACTTAAGAAATTTTTTAAAATTATAATATAGTAGCTATCTATCATTTTTATCTTAATTTGGAAGGATTAGTAAGGACAATAGGATGATTAGTTTTAAATTCTTTTGTTACAGCTTCGATATTATGAAAGCCAACCAAATTCACCCCTCACTCCAATGGATTACACACCATAGGTTAGACTGAAGAGGAATTGCCATTGAAAGTGGATCCGGATTAAGGAGTTGCTTTCTATAATCCATATAAATCCTGTGTGAATGGAAGGAGACATTCTTCATCAAGAATAATGATATAATTACTTTATCAGAAAAAAAANGACAATGATGCAACAGTTATCAAATAGTTATCAAATAGCAAATAAAATATTATCAAATAATATATATATTATTAAAAAAAAATTAAATTACCAAGATTATTATTACTTTATTTTATAAATTTCATCTCATATATTTTTACTATATTTTTTTAAAAATCGAAATAGTAAATATTTAATAGTTTTCTTTGTTATTAAGTTTGCACTTTTCTTACTTTTCTATATTAAATTTATAGTTTTTTTTTTATATTTTATGATATTTCTGCCTTAAATAAGATTATTTTTTCAGAAATCACAGCAAATTACTTTTGTCTTTTTATAGAATTAAATTAGAAAAATGTTTTATAATTCAATTTAAAGTTTAATATTTATTGAAAGTTTATGTAGTGAAACGTTCAAATAACGGTCACCTCCGAACAATGATAATTTTTTTTTTCATGTTTGTCAGTGGCCGTTGTTTAGAGGTTTGACTGTATTATTGTTAAAATACCTTAATATTAATTTAATCGATTCTTTAAATATGTATCTTTCATACTAAAATATCTAAAGGTAAGAACGTCAGCGAGAGAAAGGGAGGGAGAATTCAAGAGCGTACAGTAACACGAAGAAAGCAAAAGTGTGGCGGATAGAGTAAATTGTTAGAAATTTGGTTTGAATGTCCCGTTGCATGATGGATGAGTTGAAAAGAAATAACATTGCCTTCTGTATTGGAATAGATAATAGTGAAATAACAGATATTGAGATAAAGGTTTCTGGATTGATTTCCCCATTTCTTTTGTGTTCGTGGCTTTTGAAGTGAAATAAATGTGTTATATTTGATTTTTCACTTATATAATTCTTCTCGTAACTTTCTACCTTTTCTCTTCTTGTAATATTTCTGCACGAATCTTGTCAAAATTAATAAATTTCTTTTTCGTGATAGTAAACAGATTTTTATAGAATTCGAAACACTACATCGTAAATATAAAATGATGTATACTTAAATTGATGATTTTAATTTAACAAGGAATTAAAGAAAAATTATACGAAATTGTCTTTCTGATTCAGTCGAACCTCCAAAAAACGGACACCTCTAAACTGCGGCAATTTATGAGGAGAGTTTCTGTTTTTTGAAATGTACAAATAACCACCAATTACGGCTACCTCCGAACAACGGCCATATTTTATGTATTCGTTAGTGGCCGTTGTTCGGAGATTCGATTGTATATTATTTCATAGGCTATGAAGATAAGACAGGAACTTGACTTTTTATAAAATTATTTTAATGGAAATATTTGTAATTTATTTCTAGTTTAATGAGAGAGCCTAACTTTATTTTGAATTTAACAAGAACGAGAATTTCCAATGTTAATGAATTCTTTCGATTTTATTCAACATTTTATCAGTTTCTTTACTGTAGTCCTTAAATCTAATTGATCTCTTCTTAATACAGTCAAACCTCTGGCAAACGGCCACCGACGAGAACATAAAAATATGGTTGTTCTTTGGAGGTTATTTAGTAGTTATTTTTTAAAAAAGAAACGTTCCTGAAGAGATAGACGCCATTTAAAGACTGTGAAGTGGCCATTATTGGAGGTTTAACTGATTTTGCTACAGTTTATGTTCGTGTTTATTTTTATAATTGAATCGGGTCCCTATCCTTCACAGCTCATTCTGTTCTATTGTGGGCCCGGCAGAATCCACGAAGGGCCTGATAAAAAGGCCTTATTCCCCAAAATAGAAATTATATTGCATATTTTTGTCAGTATATTTTTATAAATATGGTAAAGTTTATTATTTACGATAGTTTCTTAATTAACCATATTGGTTATAATTTAAATGTAACGTGTTTTAAAGATTTTATAACTTAATAATTGCCTTTAGTTTACTATTTCATATAAATATTTCATGTTTATAATCATAAAATTGAAGTTGTAATATGAAGTCGAACTATATAAATTTTTCAACAATTCATTCCATAAATTAAATATAGTTTAGTAATATTTATCATAAAAAATTATAATTTTTATATATGACATAATTTATTTATTTATTATTTTAATAGGTATAAAGTAAAAATATATATTTACACCATGAAAATTTCAAGAAAACCATAATGTTAGTCTTATTTATAATCGAAATTCAGGTAATTATTTATATATTTAAAATTCAATTAAAGGTTAAATTGAATAATTTGTTTACTTCAATATCTTACTTGAATTGGATAATTTAATTTTGAATAATAACCATTAATAATTTTTAAGTGAAGAAATGTCAAAGTGTATTTCTGATTGCGCTTTCAAAAATGAGCATTAAGAACTTTTGTCGCCTTGATAAATGTGTTTATCTGTTTTTAAAGCGATCTGTCCGTCATAAAACAAACATCTTTTGTTGGCCATATCCTATGTGAACCACATTTGTCAGAATAAATCAGATTCTTACAATTCGATCAAGTGTAAGAAAGATCTTCTCTTCCATCCCCTTTTTTCTATAGAAGACTAAAATAGGACTTTTATCCATCCATTTCTCAGGCTTCTAGAAATAAAATCGTCCATTGATTTGATTTTTATTATCTATTTTATCGCCCTCTTGCTTTTTAAAATATTTTATTATTGCATCATACGTAATTTATTTACATAAACTGTGAGGCATAACATATATTATAAAAAGTACAGTGAAACCCTGCTAAATCGGCTAAGCTTTTCCTCGATTAGTCGGAATTAGTGGGGTTCTACTGCATTTAATTTAAGCTGTATTTAATGCCGGATTTACGTAGAAGCTATAGGATAGGGCCTTACATTACGAGGGGCCTTGTTCTATTCTCAAGGACTATTCATACATATTATCCATTGTTATATGGTAAAGGTGGAAGGCTATGTTGTATGTTGTAGCGTATTGTGTATTCTAAATACGGCTCTAGCTACCAACTTGTTTAGCTTACAATAACTTTTCCTGGTACAGTAAAACCCGTGTTAAACGGAATCTCACGATACCGAATTATTTTTTCCGTTTCGTTAAAGTTCCGTTTTACACAGATTTTACGGTAAAATTTTACGTTTTTACTAGATTAAACAATATAACATAATCACAATCAAATATATTGATTTTTATGTATTTTCAATGGATTATTCTGAAATTTTGCTGTAATCTTTAACTAATTTTAAATATTTTAATACTAGAAAAATAAATATTTGTAGAACTATAATATATTTTTAAGAAATAAATTTAGAAACAGGGAAATTTTCTATTATTATAATGGACAGTGAATGCCTGGGACTAGAAAGAAAACTGTAACGACAGACCAATTAAGGTACAATTTGTGCACTTACTGTACATCAAGTAAGAATTTTTTTCTCTTTTCTCTAGGCTTTTGTCCATCTGGTTTCATCGGAAACCAATAAAAATGACAAACTCTCAGCAGATAAGTATTATACTTTGGCTGATCAGTTGAGAGCTTACTGGAATTGTCACCTCACCGCGGACAGAGTACCAAAAAATTATCAGGAGGGTAAGTCTTTTATTTTCTCTCATTCAGAACTCTCTCAAATAAAAGGAATCTTAAAACAATAGCAATCTTCTTAAATTACAAAGGCATAATCGATACTTCGCTACGTTGGGTTTTTAATTACTCTATAGAAACCTGCTTTTGGCATTTACATTGTTTAATCGTTTCAAAGTTTAGAATTCAAAATATTCTTTTAAGGTCAATTATTCTGCCCCCCGACTTTCGACGGTTGGGGATGTTGGGATGCTACACCTGCTGGTCAGGTAGCCAAGCAGCAATGCCCTCTCTTAGTAACGAAGAAACAAACTAACAGTAAGCATTTTATATTTTTTATTATTGAGAAATAAAGCCTCGTTACAATTATTCTGTATCCATTTATTCTTAGAATATGTCACCAAATATTGCACTCAGAGTGGTAAATGGTTTTCTAACCCCGATAGAAGTGAAAAAGCTGCCAATTACTCTCAGTGTCCATTTGATGTGGTTTTGGTACGTACATTATTCAACAACATATTCTTATAACTGATTGTTTCCATTTATTGTTTTCATGTAATGCTAATTAAACTAATAAGGTTTCGTCCGTTAATTACGTGTACAGTTTAAGGGAGGGGGTTGCGAAACGTACAGTACATTATTGTACACATTCGGGAGGAGGGTATGAGGTATTGTCTTCCTGGACATGTTTCAGTGGGGAATGCAAATCTGTTCTTATAAGCCTACTTATTAATCACGTGAATAAATATTTTTATAGTCACTTTTTCAAAATTACTATTACACTGTACTGTACACGTATTAAAAGGATTTGTCAAAAGTACACCATTGCACACAACAGAAAGGGAGAGGTCAAAAATGGCTGAAAAATTGTACACCTAATCAATGAACGGTCCCATACTAATTATGCTAATAAGCAATAACATTCTTAATACATTAATTTAATATTAAAAGCTTATTAATTACTAATTGTAACTTTATCTAGTATCTGTAAGATATAATAATTAAATTATAATATTTAATTTAAATATTATTAGAATACGGATCAGGAATTATTGTTCTATCTCTTTGATGAGTTTGCAAAACTAGAAGAAATTCCTTACTCCGTTTCTGCGATCGAATATGCGTTCAATCAATGTATCGATAATGTATTATCTCAACCTCGGCCTAAGGATGGTAAGTTTATGTATAAATATTTTAAATTTTACCACAAATATCGATTGTTTCGCAAAAAAAAGTTTAGTGAGTGCACTTTAAAAATTCAAACTTTACAAAAGTTTTTGCGGTGATTAATTATAAATTTTAATTTAAAAAAAAGGTAGGAAATATTGCTTACGTACTTTCGATGGATGGGGATGTTGGAACGATACACCCGCTGGAGAGACTGCTTACATCACTTGTCCAACGTTCATAACTGGTTTTTTACCTGAAAGTAAGTAGTAAAATCAATATTTTTTAATAAATCAAAATTAATAAAAATTTTATGTAAATTGTGTATCAGGATTTGCTCACAAAATATGTAACGAAGATGGGACGTGGTACAGACATCCCCATACCAATCGCACGTGGTCTAATTATACGACTTGTATTGATCAGGATGACTTATCGGTTAGTTTTGTTTTCATTTTATTTATTAAAAATTAATGTTCTATTTTTACTTTATTGGTTAATTAAGTTTTAAAGTGTAAATTCAAACGATTAAAATAAAAATTAATTTAGACAAACATAATTTTCTTAATTGTGTTTCTTTGGATTGCTACAACAAAAGTAATAATACTCATTAGTTCCAAAAGAAATTTTTTCTGTGTTTTCTATATTTTCTATTTATTTTTTCTTTCTTTCAAGGGTCATTCCATCTTTTTGAAAATAATTGTTTAAAAAATCGAATTTTTTTGCGGTATCATAGTTACAGAAAAATAAAAGTAACAAGTAACAATAACGAAAGCTTCTGAATTATTTTACTAGAATTTTTAAATTACCAGAAAACCCTGTTATGGCTAAGACAAGTGTACTAACCTTGATAACCGCCACCTGTAAACGGTGCCGAATTTTTTCAGAAACTTTTCTTTTTGAAATGCATATAAAATAACCTCCAAACAATGGTCACTTCGAAAACGACCATTTTTTAATGCTTCCGTCAGTGGGCGTTGTTTAGAGGTTTGACTAAACAAAACTGATCTCAGATAAGTAAAAATTTAATTATCTTTATAAATTAATTTGTCAATATATAAAAGATGCAATTTTAACTTGGATTGATGGGCAAGGTAATGCAACATATGGACGATTTGTCAATGGAAAATGTCTTACGGGGACTTTCTATGGGAAATTGGCTTCTATTTGGCCCACCAGTAGCCGAATAGATAAAATCACTAAACACTGGTAGTTCGCGCCTCGCCAACAGGCTGGTAACGTGGAGTTTTTCGGATTTCCAATTACCCGTGTTTCTATTTAGAATTTGTAACATCTAAATAGGGACCAGTTTGCTGTAGAAAGTTTTCCCGGGAGACACCCCCTCGGCAGATCGCCCGCGAGTTGCGTTGCCGTATACAAGCAACAATAACAGGTCTCTAAGCATTATACGAGTGAAGAAAGGCCAAAATACTCCACGCGCCAAACCGTTGGTCAGGTGCGAACCAGCGACCGACTACTAGTGTTAGGGGGTTATCCACTCGGCCACTGATAGACAAATATGATTTTAAACTAAGATTATTTAATTTAAAAACACGGTAGATGCAAATTAATAAATATATGTGTATTTATAACAGAAATTAAAATTTAGAGAATATTCTACATATAAATTCTCTTGTGGGTATCTTAACTACACGCTGTTTACCAGAACGGAATGTGTAAAACTAAATCATATGGAGATTTCCATTACAGTTTATTTAACATGAAAATATAATTTCATCAATTTTTCTCATGACAAAATTTATTAATCGATCGAAAATTCACTTTGATCAATAAATATGCGGTCTTCTCATAACTTATATTCGTTGAAAATGATTAAGAAATTAATGTTTTCTTGCCATTAAATGAAAGATTCAATTAAATTCATGTATTAATCTTTAAATGAATTAATCTGTCTCTTCTCTTATTTTATGATGATAATCATTTTCAATGATGAATTTTTTAAGCGGGTATTTTTATTAACTTAATATTGTATTTAAGTAATTTGAAAATAAAATCTTCAAATAAAACAAAAGAGAATTCATTCGTTTAATTCTATATAAATGATGTAAAGAACCAAGTGGATTTATAAAAACGGAATTTATTCTCACTTGCATGAACTCACATGCAGTCGAACTTTCAATAACGGCTATACTTTCCAACCTCTAAACGGCGGCTATCGTTTCAGGAACTTNTTGCCGATCTTGCCCCTATACCCGGGGCAACTTCGTCAATTTCTCTCTTCTTGTAAAGTTGTAATTATTTTAATTATTTTTATTTCCAAACTGATTTTAACCAGTTCTATAGTAAGGTAACATTCCAATAGATAATATGCAAAGCTTTCTTTTCAGTTTACAGCAGTATTTATTTCACAAAATTTAAGTAAAGCTTAACATGCCGATCTTGCCCCGGTCTCCCCTATATTCGTTGAAAATGATTAAGAAATTAATGTTTTCTTGCCATTAAATGAAAGATTCAATTAAATTCATGTATTAATCTTTAAATGAATTAATCTGTCTCTTCTCTTATTTTATGATGATAATCATTTTCAATGATGAATTTTTTAAGCGGGTATTTTTATTAACTTAATATTGTATTTAAGTAATTTGAAAATAAAATCTTCAAATAAAACAAAAGAGAATTCATTCGTTTAATTCTATATAAATGATGTAAAGAACCAAGTGGATTTATAAAAACGGAATTTATTCTCACTTGCATGAACTCACATGCAGTCGAACTTTCAATAACGGCTATACTTTCCAACCTCTAAACGGCGGCTATCGTTTCAGGAACTTTTCTGTTCTCAAGAACACACAAAATAACCTGCAAACAACGGTCGTTTTTTATGTTCCCATCACTGGCCGTTGTACAAAGGTTTGACTGTTTATGTTGTTAGTTTACAATCATTAATGCTGATTGTAATCTCTTTGGTTATGCACAAGATTTCCAGCAGATGACGTTTAAAATGTAATGTTCTTCTATGAGGAAATTTCTCCGTTTAAATCCTATTTAATTCTTTTATACTTAAACTTACCGTTTAGAATTCTGTGAATCGAATTTGTTAATTTTCTACAAATATTTAAAGCCGTAGAAAAATTTATAGAAATTTAATGAATTTGATTCTCAGAATTCCAAACCGTCAGTTAGTAGAAAAATTAAATAAGATTCAAATGGGGAAAACTGTTTGGTTCTATCTACTTCCGTTTTTGAGAATTTTTGGAGAAATTTTTTCATGGAAGAACATTCCATTTTAAACGTCATCTGCTGGAGATCTCGTGCATAACCAAAGAGACTACAATCAACCTCAAATATTTAATGTATTCAATTTCATTTTTAGTTTAAGTTACTTTCTATATGATAATCTATAGATGAATAAATCTGTATTTGGGATTATATAAAATTTAAGAAGTTATATCAGCTTTCTATTTAGGATTAGTGTCTATGTGGAAGAGCTTAGTCTTTCGTTATGGTGAAATTCAGCATGAAATCCTATAGTCGGATTTCCTGACAGTTCTTGAGATGTTTGGCTGATTCTGCCATTTCTCTTCTTCAACCAAAAGAATATTCTTGCTATTTCTTCTGGTCAGATGATGATGAATACAATTTTTGTATTGCTGAAAAATCGGCATAAAAACTTCAATATTATTTCTAATATTTGTGAAATTAATCTGAAACAAACTTGATTTATTGATTAGGATCGATTAATTAAATTTAATTACAATTTATATTAGTTTCGTAATAATTTAGTAGAAAATATATGCATTTTTAGCTATTGAAATGCAAAAATAGAAATTTTCTTTCATAATAATAACAATATATAGTTATTAAATTGTTAACGTTATTGTTCTACATAATTAATTTATATTTAATTAGTTATAAATATTAATGCTTCATATTGTTTCTTACGCAATCTACATTATCAATAAATTTATTTAAATAACTTTTATTAAAGTCCTCCAATACACTTTTAACATGAATTAGCATGGATAATGATAACTGATTAAAAACTTCTTTATAATTACTACTTTACTTTTACAAAAACTTTTTTTAATGGAAAAATATTAATAAATTAAAGTAATACTACTGGTGGGCCTCAAATTAAAATAATAACTTACTACTGGTGCCTTTCATTTGAGGCCCACCAGTGGCCGAGTGGATAAACTACTGAACATTGGAGTTGGTCGTGGGTTCGCGCTTTACCAACTGGCAGGTCACGTAGAGTTTCCGGTTTTCTTCACGTGTGTAATTAGCACCTAAATGGTCACCTAAATAGGGGCTATTCTCCCGTAGAAAGTCCCTTTTTGGCAGATTGCTGAAGTATTGAACACCAAAATAGGGGCCAGTCTCCGATGGAAAGTCTGCAATGGCAGATCACCCACGTGTTTCCGTATTCCATCAAACCAAACCATTGATTCGTTATTCCACTTGTCCTTTTCGAATTTAAATTCCCGCATTAACGCTAACAGATTTAATTAACGAATAATATATTTAAATTTAATTAAACACATTATTTATAAATTTATTATTTGTAGTTCCGACAGAGAATTAATAATTTTTATATTGCTGGATACTCCACTTCTCTGGTTGCTGTTACAATATCATTAATTATATTTTGTTATTTCAAGTAAGAATATTATTAAATGTTTTAAAACGATAAAAATTAATTTATATATATTTTCCTAAATTAAATTAATTTTTTCAGATCGCTTCAATGTACCAGAATCACAATTCATAAAAATCTCTTTATATCTTTTATCATAAATAATAGTATGTGGATTATATGGTACACGGCTGTTGTGCAAAATACCGACGTCTTACTCAAAAATGAGGTGAATTTATTTGTTAATCTTTATAAATTTGTATTCAAAACGATCAAATTTTATATTATTTCTACTTAATACGTGAATTAAATTTATAAGCTGCGCATTATTTAGGCTATTTTCAATAAAAAATAAACGAGACTTATTTTGTTATACAGTCGAACATCTAACAAGGGCCAATTCAAAACGGCATACCGCCTTCTTTTCAGTAGAGTTTCCTTCTGAAATGCATTAAAAAATAACCTCCGAAAACGGCCATTTTCAATGACATTTCTTTTTGAAATTCAAACAAAATAATCTCCGAACAACGACCATTTTTATGTTTCCGTCAGTGGCCGTTGTTTAGGGGTTTGACTGTATTTTATTTTTGAAATTAAAATATGTAATTTAATAATTTGAAATGTTATTAATTATTAATTAAATTGAACATTTTAAAAATAGGTAGGATGCCAGATTTTACACGTTTTCGTACATTATTTTCTGGTTTCCAATTACTTTTGGATGTTTTGTGAAGGACTATATTTGCATACATTACTAGTTGTTGCATTTGTATCGGAAGGAAATCTTATGAAATGGTTCTATTTGCTTGGATGGGGTAAGTTAATTAGTTATATATATTTCTAAGTAATAAAAATGGCGATAATTTAAAGTATAAGTGTGGTTATTTGAAAGAAATTAGATTTTTGTAGAAAAATACAACTATGGTAATTGCTTCATACCACGAACACTAAAGGCTTTCTTAAAGTAAGTACAGTCGTCCCCCTATAACAGGGTTAATATAGTGCGGATTCGTATATCGCGGCGAAAAAATTGCGACCGTATTCGTATCACATATCGCGGCGACAAAATTGCGACCGTATTCGTATAAAGACGCTAAAAGAGACTCGTAAAATGCGGTGAAACGTCATCGCCGACTCGTGTCGCGACAGGATTGGTCGACAATAGTGGACGAGCAGCCGAACTACTTACACGCTACGGAGAGTTTAGGCGGGTAAGTTGAGTTTACTATCGTCTGTACAGTATATAAATTAGATACTAGAGAGGTTGCGGCCGAAGTTTTCAACGCTAAAACGTGTATGTCGGACGTTCAGCGCCGCCTTCCTGTAAGCCTAGAAGTTTTACAATAGCGTTTGGAACGTCGAGCATGATTCCACTGACGTTCCAAACGCCATTGTCAAACGTATAGGCTTACAGGAAAGCGGCGCTGAACATCCGACATACACGTTTTAGCGTTGAAAACTTCGGCCGCAACCTCTCTACTGTAAGTCTAATACAGTACTGTAATTTTATACATTTCTTGTAAAAAAAAAAAACATTTCTTATTCAACGGCCATAAAAATTATTTCTATTAATGATGTCTCCAAAGTTCAACGAATTTTTCGCAGAAAAATAACTTATCAGAAAACGCGGCCGCCGTTTGGTGCGCTGCTCCGCGACGAAAACAAGGTTAAGCAATGGCATCGTCGAACGGTGCACACTCGGTAAGTAATCCTACAATTTTTTGTTTATAGCAGAGTCTATACGGATTATTCCCAAAAAATTATACGTGTTTTGGAAATGTTGAGTCAAATTAGTCTAGAATCGATTAATTTTATGGAAGAAAACCTTTCAAACAGCCGTAGTCCGTAAACTGCACACGTGCCGTGCTGTGTTTGGCTCATGTATTTAAGGATTCCTACAACGTGAAATTCTTATAAAGTGGAACGTATCTACCGCGTTATAGGGGGGTCGACTGTATTCTAAAACCTCTGTTTTTTCAACTATCAATGGTTTCGAGCAAAAGTGGACTTTATTAGAGGTTGTCGCTCTGGAGGGATGGTGTCTTACAGTGGTTTCACTGTACTTACTGAAGTTCCCCAGTTAACAATAAATTTTAGACATAACCTCTTCGAACAGAAGTAGGTATATAAGAGGGTAATATCAAATTAAGTGTGGTAATATCAATATAAGGGGATAATATCAATTTTCGGTTTAATGATTATATTTTTCTATAAGAAGAAAGCTCCTCAATGGGTTCCCTTATCAGTAGATAGATATTTTTTTTTGATAATATGAATAGCACATTAAACATAGAATTTCTCAGCAATTTCTTAATAAAATGTGAAAATCCCATTCTCTGAATATAAAATCCTTAATATATTACGTCATTTTAAACGTTATCTTTTAAAAGTGTGTTACATGTGCCGTTGATAATTACATAAAGTAGCCGTTTGATTACGAATATTTCCGTAATGTTTTCGAATTAATCTCAATGTTCATTATAAAAGAATAATATTCTTAATCTTGTTGAAAAATTTAACAGATTATTGAATTTTCAAGTTGATTAATCGCTGATATAATTACCGATCAAATTCGAATTTTTATTCATTTTACTGATCATTGAGATGAAAATTTAAGTAGATTTTAAATTCATTAATTCTATTACGTATACTGAATTCAATGAACAAGTAATTAAGAAGATTATCGACTAACAAATATTTGTCATTTAGTGATTAACTCGTCATAATCCTTTAACAAACTTAGGATGGGATTATATTCTTTTCTACACCAAGTAACTATATTTCATTAAGTTTATTTTGGTTGTTTCATTATTCATATTTAAATTATTTTGTTTTAATTATATTAAGTGAACAAACCGCAACTATTAATCTTCACAAAATATGTTTATTAAGCAGTCAAACAGTATTAAATTTGGAAACAAAATTAAGAACATTGATCGTATTCAAGATAATTTAATCATTTCTATTTTCGAAATTATAGATTTGGTTTATCTTAGATCATTCTTTAATTTACAAAAAATTTTTTATCTCGTTTCATACTTAGATTTGAGATGATTAATATTAAACACGAATAATTTATATATTTTTCTTACAATTTCATTTATTATCGGATTATAATGCGCACTTATCTCGCACTTTTAAGAGAAAAAATTAATGATACTAAATCTAGTTGTATTTAATTAATTAATAAATATTTCAATATTAAATGATATGGAATAAAATATAGCTAAAAATACGGGTTAACAATAATATTAATCTCACTTTTAATTTCTTAAAAATTGTTTGCGCTAATTATTAATTGTTGTGGCTTCAATTGTTTGCGCCAGTTAAGCTTCGAATATTAATTAAAATATTAATAAAATGCGTATTATTTTACATTGATAATGGATAATTTGTCATATCGTTAAATATTTATTAAAGTAAAATATTTCGTAATTTATTTCAGGTGCTCCTGCATTATTGATCATAGCTTATGCTGCAACTAGAACTTCGTTTTCTGAACAAACTCTTCAGTAAGAATGAAATTTTTTAATAATTTAAAAATCGTAAATAAAAATTGAATAAGATAAAAATAGCGTGTTTTAAAACTAAGCGTGTAAGGTTTAATTCATAAAGTCAATTTATAAAACAATATGTAATGAAAGTTGAAGAAATTGAACATGATTTCATGACTTACTTCAAAAGGAGCCCAACAGTGCCGAGTGGATAAAACTATTGAACATTGGTCATGGGTTCGCACCTTTCCAACAGACTGGTCATGCAGTTTACCGGGTTTTCTATTATTTTGAGTATGTCATAATTATTGAAAAGTACATCACCAGGCGCCTTCTTTGCGCATACAAACAATATAATTTCTCTGCTTGAATATATAATTTACACGTAATATGCAATTATTATAAAATTAAGATGAAATAAACTCATTATTCAAATTCTTTCTTTATCAATTTATTTAAATTAAATATTAAAATATTTCAAATTTAGTTATATTTATCTAAAATTAATCGAACAAAATTAAAAATTACACTTTCAAATTTCAGTTGTTGGATAGAAGAGAGTATTTACATGTGGATAATATCGGGTCCTGTATGTGTTTCGATGACAGTAAGTATTATTTATTTATTTCACGAATATTTTTATAGTTATTTAACATTAAAAGCATTCGAAACTACAACCTGCTTAAAGAGGAAACCTGCAAAAATAATTCGGTGCGTGAAACACAGGTTTTACTTTATTTAGAATAATGTAAAAGATAGCGAATAAAATTTTATTGAATTAACAGTGTGTCGAGAAAATAAACGTGACGATTTTCATGAAAGCCGATCCATTATTCTAAGTTAGTTAGCAGCTAAAAATTTGCAAAGATTAAGCAAATTGAAGAACTAATTGAGAACAAAGAGAGCCGCCTTTTATTTAATTTTCCTATTCGAGTTATTAAATTTTCATTTTTTTTTCAGCTGAATTTCATCTTTCTGGTGAACATTGTTCGTGTCCTTGTTACCAAATTACGGGCGGTAAATTCTCCAGATGCTCATCAGACAAGGTGAGTTTTGGAAAATCTTCAGTAAATACACTAGAAAAATCGTTTATAGAAGAAAGTTTCAAAAGTTAAAGCAGTAACGACAGAAGAGAGTTGAAGTTGATAAATAACTTGCAGATGTTTATGACTTTCGATAAACATTTGCAACTTGTCTTTCTACCTCTTTCTTATTGATTTTGCTCTAGTCACACGCTTATATATAATAAATGCCTTTACTTAATTATCTGATTTTATTAACTTAAACAAATGAATATTATCGTTATTATTATCATTTGATTACAATATTATTTTATTCAAAGCAATTTACGTATTTTATTAATTTAAATTATTAGACATTTTTGCTATATTCGATTATAATTTTATATTATAAAGAATTTGATAAATTGTGAAGCAGTTTTATAAAATTGGGTTGTAGGCAGTGGGGAGTCCAGGGATAATACCCTCCCTAGATTGAAAAATACCCCTCATATAAACAGTTTTGTAAAATTGCATAAATGGTTATTGTTTCTACGTGTATAAATACAGTAACGCCTATCCAAAATGGAAGATGAATAAAATGGAAACCTGCGTAAACGGAAAAGATTCTTCGAAACGGAGCGATTTTCAGTCGAAAACTTGATAAAAACGGAAATCTGCTAAACCGGAAAAATATTCGATACCGTGCGATTCCGGTTTACACAGGTTTTACTTTATATATAAATTGACTGACCAATTGTATTTGCCACTTTTCAGATGAGAAAAATCCCCCCTTAGATGAGAAAGATACCCTTCCCTAAATGAGAAATATACCACCATAGAGGAGAAATATGCTTCCAGATGAGAAATATATCCCGGTTTTCAAAGAAACACTGATTGAAGGATTGATAAGTTAAGGCAATGCAACACAAGTGATGTATAGTACCAAAGAAGTATTGACTTCCGGGAGGATTTCTTATTAGAAACTGGCCCCTACTTAGGCGTTAGATACGTGAAAAAAACCAGATAAACTCCACGCGGCAGCCCGTTAATGAAGTGCGAACCCGCGACCAACTACCAGTGTTCAATGGTATTTATCCTGTCGGCCACTGATGGGCCATTTTGTAAAATAGGTAGTAGGAATATGTCATTCAATGATAAAGTTTTATATAGAATCAGATTTCATAAGTCTTTATAGGCCCGAAACATGGCGGTTGTAAATTATTTTTTTAATAGAAATTCAGTGAAACAGACTGTAAGATGTCTTCTTAAGTTAAACCGTAAAAATCCGAGAAATATATTTCACAGAAGAGAAAAAATTTGCCTTTTAAGTTCCAAGTTACAGTCTGAAAGTCTGATTTGTACTTGTTGCTATTTTTGTCCAAATCCGACACTTTCCAGGTATTTTATGACCCGAAATAAATTTTAAACAATGTACTGCTACCATTTTATAGTGCTGTTTGTTTATTGTTGTAATTTTTCAAAAGAAAATCGAAGCTTCGAATAAAACAAATAAATTAAATTGATGTATTTTTATTATTTCAACTGTTGATTTATTCATGATCATTAAAATGCTTTCGACTGTGACTAAGCGAATTGAAAAATACAGTACAGTTAATTAAAAGTATAAAATTTTGAAAATAATTTTAAATATTAAGCTATTTTTTAATATTTCTTTGTTACTATTTTCCCAAATGTGTAGGAAACGTTATCATTTCTTTACAAAACACTTGATATTACTGTCTCCTTTCATATACTGTGTCTTTCACTATACTCTTCTACTACATCAGGAATCCTCAGTTTTTAAACTGTCGATCTCTTCAAGGATTCCTCAACCTTTTTTGTTATGCTAATATATAGTTAACAATAAATAAATCTGGTGAGCCAATATTAATCCATACATCGTTTTCATAGGAAAGATCTTACAGTGTACAAATTTTCGTCCAGAATTGTCATATACAGTCGATACAGTCAAATACGTGAGCCATTCACAGCCGGCACACGTATTTGTAAAATCTAAGTGACTCGTACAATATGGAATTCATATAACACGGAATTATCAACAGTGTTATAGGGGTCTACTGTACATCACTTAACCCATTTGGCTAAAAATGATTACGAACCATTTTCAATCGATTCCTTATTAATTTTCGACCCTTGTGGGTTGCTATCAACCACTTTGGGGACCCCTGCTCAATATCATTGTAAGAAAGCTCGTACTTTTCGTAATTATAACTACTATATAAACATTTCTCAACAAAAATTGTATTTATTTTCATACTTTCTCATTCACCCAACCTGTTTACTACCCTATTGGAACCTTCTCTGCTCTTTCTCGTCTCATCACTCTCCCCATTTCTTTATTTCTAAGTAGGATATATCCGTAACAAAAATAATACAGTAATACAGTACTAAAATAGAATTTTTTTAAACTCTAATTAGAAAAAAATATACCTCTTGAATTGAGTTTATGTTTTTACTTCTTATTTTCAGTAGTCTTTAGTGAAATGAAAGCGTTAAATCGAACCTTCTGAAGTTTTAAAGATTAAGCATAAAAAAATAAAATAAAAAATTTGTTGAACATGCTTTTTGTTAGCATATTTTTTGCATAATATATTTAATTTTTTTTCGTAAAAAGAATATTTACGCCTCTAAGTAAAATCGATTTTTTTTATTTAATATCTAGAGTTTAATATAATTTGTTGAATTTTTCTTTGCAGTTTTTCTTTTTTATAATATATTTTTACTCTCATAAATATTTCTCCATTCCATACTTTTCAGTAAATTTAATAATTTATTTATAGTACTTATGACCGAGGGGATACAACCACTGAACATTGGTAGTTGGTCGCTGGTTTGCATCTCGCCAATACTTAGAAGAAAACTCGGAAAACTCCCCGTGAGTTTTCCGAGTTATACGAATTTGCCTATCAGCAAATATTTGCAGAACTTTTTAAAGTCATTGCTTAAAAATTAGGGAGTCCATAAACTATACAAGTGATTAAAGGAAAGGTTTGCCAAAAGTATATCATTGTTTAGGACAGGGAAGGAGATGGTCAAGATGAGTCAAAAACTGTACACGTAATTAATAGACCATCCCATATTTTATTATTTTTTTATATAAATTTTTTGTGTTTCAGAGGATTTACATTTTACAATTCTTAATGAAATAAGATTTTGTTTCATTATAAAATTTTCATTTTTATGCAAAATTTTGTATAAAGTATATAACTTTATAGTTACAGCGAAATAATTAGCGACGGTAAATCTCAATTGTAATTAATTATAGGTAGTACATAATAGAAATCAATATATTTGTACATTATATTAACATCTCGATTTTTAATATTGATATTTTAATGTTTTCCATGTTCATATTATTAAATTTTAGATATTATGATTACAGCATTTCGTATAAATTATCTATCTGCGTAATTAATTATTGTATAGATGTAGTTATTACGCTCTAGGGAAGAGACAAGCATTGTATCCCAAAGCGAATAATTACAGTCATTAATTGTTATGGTCCTGACTTATTGATTTAGTAGCACGACTGAACTAAAATTCGTCAAAGAATAATGCTATTTTACGTAGAGCCTTATCTATGGGGGACTATGAGATAGTTAAGCCTCCTTAATTTAGTAGTTCTCATATACATTTACTTTCGCCACGTAGCTTAGGCTACTGCTATTGTTTTTACATTTGGAATACAGCTAGTGTTGGCTGGAAAAGAGAAAAATGCCAGTCAGAATGTTGCCCCTGTAACCCCCACTGATTTATATCTGGCTACAGGGCTGATTTTTATGTATAGTAATTTTAAACAAAGAAATAAATAAATATATATATATATATTACAGAAAAGCTGTCAGAGCTACATTGATTCTTATTCCTCTCTTGGGTCTTCATTATGTTGTGACTCCATTCCGTCCCGAGCCAAGGTCTCACGGAGAAGCTGTTTACGAAATAATTTCGGCTGTAGTATCTTCTTTCCAGGTAAGAATAAAGATTTATTAATAAAAATAATTTGTTAAAAGTTAATAAAAATGTGTGTAAATTTTTTTTCGCAGGGTTTATTCGTCGCTCTCTTGTTTTGTTTCTTCAACGGCGAGGTAATTAACATCGCACGAAATTTTGTTTTGAAACAGCTTCTAATGAGGAGACCAACTCTTTCGCAGGCGCATACAACACCAGCAGCAGTCTGAGGGGGAAAAAATAATAATTTATGATAAAATAATCATTCGAAAGATACACAAAATCGTTTTTTGTTTAAAAAATGTATAAGAATGAACACAAAGCGAATTTTTTCTTGTTTTTAAATATCCAAAAAAAAACCATTAAGCATTTTAAAGATGAAATGTGTAGAAGGTTAACTTTTAAATATTAGAAATGTGTTAAATAAAACAAAATCAACGACTATTTTAGTAATAAACATGCGCTTTTTTAGTACAGAAAATTTTGTGAATGCGGGCGATAGCGAATGTGTTTGGGGTTTGAGAAAGCGTATCGGCTTCAATGTCGGAAAATTTTGGGACTACCAAAATAAAACAATATATTTTTTCGGAATTAAAAGAAATGCAGAAGTATAAAGAAGTGACACGAGGGTTTGGGAGAGTGGTGGAAGAGAGTCAATCTTTTTGACTTGCATTTTGTATAAAGTAACGTTATAAGTTAGCAAAATCAACTTCCATCCCTAATGATAAATGTCTAAGAGTCGACTTTATTAAATTGAAGGATAAAATTACAGCTGCTATTCGAAAATTATAATACAAATTATAAAGAACAGAATATTTTCTTTTTAACCATAAATTTTTAATTGTAAGCTGAATTTTATAAGTTACTTAATGTTGAAATGATAAATATTTTCAACCTTATTATAATACAAATTATAAAGGGTCTATCGTTTTCTTTTTAACCTTCCATATTAAAGAATTTGCTTTATATTTTAAAATATTTGGGAAAGTGAATGGATCACTTATCAATTCCTGCGGATTTCTTAATTTATTCTAAATTTATTTGAATATTTCTGAACTTCCGTATTACTAATTACAACAATCTTATCTGTTGTTAAGAATAGATTATCTCCCGTATAGTTTAGCTTTGGACGTTAACTAGAAGGACCATATTAGATCCGTTTCTAAGCTTTATTAAACTTATTTATGTAACTATAACTCTGCAGTAGGCTAGATATTTATAGGACGAAGATACTTTAAGAGCTTAATCCTTTTTAAAGTTTTCAGATCACGCCAAACTGAAGAATCTATAGAAGATCTACAGAAAGTTTTTGATAATTGTCCGAAAAACCTCCTTTATATCGAAATCACGTATAAATTTCGGTTTTCATAACTCTATCCTGAATTTAGTAAAGAAAAAGTTTCTAAAAAAAAAAAGATGGCGATTTTAGTTTTTTTTCCGTTTACGAAAATCCTTCGCAGTCTTTTTTCCCTCTATATTTTAATAACTCGTATCAATGAGGTAGTGCGCATGTGCTTAATTCACCGTCACGTGATACTCGCGTCATGGCCTCGGGCTTAACAGCGTGTCAGAAAGATTTTCTCGCAAATAAGTCGGCCAAGCAGAAAACTCGTTTTTATCTTTGTTAATTCTAGGTAAGGTAGGAAAGTTTTCTTTATTTAGAAAAAAAAAAAAAAAAACAGCAAGTTTTCAAATTAGATATCTTCTACAAAGAAAAATAAAGTAGTTTAATGAGAAAAAAAAAATTAAATTAAAATGAGTTTGAAAATATCATGTAGTTCAATAGATTTTTTGGCAAGTTTGCGTTGTAAGACTATAATCGAATAGTTTACAACAATAAATAGAGTTTTACAACGAATATTCCGAATTATACATCGAAATTGATATAATTTTATTAAGTCTTATCCGGCTGATCCCTTCCAATATCGAAATTTAGCCTTAATTTAGCCTAAATCTGGCTATAAAAATTAACCAAATTTAGGCTGAATCGGGAAGCTTAATCCACTCGAGTATATTTACGTGGATTAAAATTTAAAATCATAATTTTTCTCAATTATCTAAAAGATATCTGATATCGCTAGAAGATATCGAATAAAATCCAATTATAGTCTTATAAATATCTATTAAGTAAACTTGAAGCATACTTAAATTTTATAAATCATTTTTTTCTTCTTCTTCTTCTTCTTTTTACCATTAATGAGGGTCTACAAGATCAAATCATTAAATGTCGATTTAGCTACCATTTAAGAATCTTTTAAACGTAATGTTTTTATAAATATTTTAAAGCAAATTCATCCAAATAAAAATGAAATAATGATTTTAAAGTATGTTTTTATCGTAAATTGGATAATTTATAAGCTTAATGAAGAAATTTTATAANTAAGAAGAAAATAAACGGAATTTAAATTAGATTAAATTAAGAAAATTTATCGAAGTAATAGAATTGAGTTTAAAAAATGATCATCATGAAATCACGACGTTGTCCATGGATTTCGGTCACGTATAATTTAGCAAAAATATTATTTCTAATGACAAACCATTGGAAAACTTGATTTGAAATGAAGTATTATCGTTGATGACTGAATTTAATGATAGGGCTTCGTCATCTAATAACTTATATCTCAGTTTATATATAGTTAGGTGCTCATATTACAGCATGTGCTCATTTATGGATCCGTTATTGCTGCACGCTGCTCAAGAGATAAGAATGTTAAATTCTTTAGATAAATAAACAAACACGTGAATCCGAAGCTGGAATATAATTTGTGTGAAATATATTTAAATTTTTTTAAAACATTGTCATTAATAATACATTTGTACACATGTCTACGTTAGAATTTTTGATGAGTGTTTATCAGAAGATATGGATAAACTTTTTCCTATCGAAGATACTCATTTGTTTGTAAAAATCTTAGATGCGAATGTTTTATGTGAATATAATAAATGATTAATTATAAAAAATAGAAGCGCATAAATCAAATACTAATAAAATTATATTATCATAATTCGCGTTGTGCAGCGGATCCGTACTGAAGAAGCATTGTATTTATTATATAAACATAGCATTAAATTATTTAGTTGAAAAATAAATAATTTTGTTCGAATATTTGTGAAACGTCTACTATTTTATTTTTTATTTTTTTAAACTCAGATTATAACATTACTCCGAAGAGAATGGTATTTGAGAAAAATGGGAAAAGAAAATTCAAATAGAAGAGTTTCAAATTTGACATCGACAACTTCAATTTCTGTAAGTTTTTTTTTAATTTTTTGTTTGGTTGTTTTATTTTTCTTTATTTCCATTTCATTTTGTTTTATTTAGTTACGATCAAATAGATTTTATCATTTTATTTTCGTGGTAAAATCGATATTGAAAAAGGAGAATGCGCTTCCTTTTTTTTATTGGTGTGCAAAATCACGTAAAGTTCAAAAGTAGGATTTGGCAGTGAATATCGAGGAGCAACATGATATGAGAAGAAATTCTACAACAGAAACAGTCGATTTCTGTCTTTTTCATATCATATTGCTGAAGAAAATGATGATATAAACTGAAAATGGATCAGTTTCCTTCCTGAAAAAATCGAAAAAAAATTCGCCATTTATTTATTTTTATTATTTGTTTATTTATTTGTTTAATTGCATTTTTTACGAAATACCGAGATAATTTGCAGTGTTTGATTAAATAGGCATTTAATACACTCAATTCATTTTTAAATTACCCAATAGAAAAGGCGATTTTCAAAGAGTATCGAGCAAACAAATAGCCAAAAAACTTTCAAAATCTCTTTGTAAAATATCTTTGAAAGATTTTACAATAACAGCTTGTTTATCCAGAATATTGAAAAACAGGTACTACGAATCGATAAGTTGGGAAACAATGTTTGTACAGATGGAGTTTTACGACGTTGATACATAAATATTTATATATTGTAAGAGTAAAAAAACAATACTTATTTGATGTAAAAGTAATTAATTATTTAAAGTTATACTTAATATTCACGAAAATAGAACACCCTAAAAATTAAGTGTCTTTATCCTTTGTCCTTTTGCACACGTCAAAAACACAACATACTTTGCATGGATTGAGTTTGCATATTGAATCTCTCATCTGCCTCAATATGCGAACTATTTTATTCTTAAATTTACGCTACATAGACAATGTAAATTAGAGAAATGAATTGAGAAAAATTATTTAAGCTTCAGTTACTCCTCCATTGATTTTACTTCTATGGAACTGGTTGCGTATGCTTGATACACTAATTTAATTTATTCAATAAACTATAAGTTAAGTGCAAAATTTATTATAATTAATTCAAGTAAGTTAATAAATTTGCAAATAATATAATAGCGTGTTGTTAATATGCCTTAAGTTATTACGAAAATTAAGAGCTTATTTAATCTTACTTCGATCTAAAAAGTTATATCGCATTTTTTTTAATATTTAATCTGAACTTTTGATTTTTATTTATTACGCTGATTTATTACGCGTACAGAATTATTTAAAAGTTTATTTAATACAGAATAGACAGACATTTTAATTTACATACTGTATATATATTAGAATGTCTGTCTGTCGTGTATATAGATTACTTCTAAACCTTCTGACAGACCTGGACCAAATATTTCAGGTTGGTTAGTTTGGTGGACATGGGCTATCTGCCAAGGGGTTTTCTATAGAAAACAGGCCTTATTTAAGTGTTTAATTAAGTTTAAGAAACCCGAAAACTCCCCGTGACCAGCCCGTTGGTGATAGCAAACTCGCAACGAATATGCCTGTGTTCAATAGTTTTATGCACCCAGCTACATGTGGGCCCCCAAATTTTTCAGAGTTATTATCTAGGACTCCGCAAAAAAATTTACGCTATTTCAAAACCTGACACCCTTCGTTTTCATTCCCTTAATACTTTGTAATAAACTTAAAAATGGCAGACTAAAAAAACAGAATTTCGTGTAGTAGTGAGTTTATCATTATAAATAAATATATTGTTTAGTATACATAAGTTTATAAAAGGACAAAAGAAATTGTGTGGATTTCGATAGAGCTTTGTATAGTTAGAGGATACTCTGAATGGTGGTAACTAATACATCGATGAGTTGTCAATAGACCCAATTTCGTGTAGTAGTGAGTTTAACATTATAAATAAATATATTGTTTAGTATATATAAGTTTATAAAAGAACTTTAACCAATTTACATAAATATAGGCGAGGCATAAATGTGGTGCGACAATTTTACATATTTAGCCAAAATTTGATAATTAAAATAAAGTTAAACAACGCTCATCGTAGTGGTGACCAGACCCTAAAGACTGGGAGGTTCGTCGTGGGTTCGCGCCACGGTCGGACAGGCTGGCTGCTTGGAGTTTTCCGGGTTTTCTCCTTGCCTATAACGACTGAATAGGAGGCCAGTTCCCCATAAAAGTCCTCCCGGAAGGCATTTATTTCCCGCGCGTACGTATGGCTGTTCGATACAGCCGGCTAATCGGTCGCCTAGCGATCATACACATACACAAGTCTATTTGGAGAAAGAGCCTACATTGAGCTAAAATCTCCATATAAACACCATCGAAGAAGATAGAGAGAAAGTTAAACAATAGAACTTTTTAGGAATAAAGCGCGCAAAATGAAGTGTAGAAATCAAGTTATATTTACTCCCTGATACAAGTCAGTAAAGTCTTTGATAGCAGTAAGGAAGTCTCTCACTTTTGCTGAAACATTGATTTTATCGACTGAAAAAGAAATTGTGTGGATTTCGACAGAGCTTTGTATAGTTAGAGGATACTCTGAATGGCGGTAACTAATACATCGATGAGTTGTCAGTAGACCCAATTCTCTTGGCGATATTCATAGAAAATGAATTAACCTAAGATTAAAAGAAAATTTTGAAAATATTTGTCAGTTTTACTAAATTCATTTTATAAGATTGTAAGATTAATGTGATAAGGCAGTACAACAAGTGGGAGGACTTTCTACGAGAACCTGGAGTCTGTTAAGTGTTAGACACGTGAAGAAACCTGAAAACTCCACGTGGTCAGCCCGTTGATGAGGCGCGAACCGCGACCTCAGCCAGGGTTTAAATTTATTTTAATCGTTTATTAAAATAGTCTATACTTCAGTGAAGAATAAATTATATATTTTTCTGATTGACAGTTATGATTATGAAAAAAATACTTCAAATTCTTACATAATTATGAGTAAATTTATGTTATTTTGCAGAAAGTGTCTTTATAATTCAGGTTATCTAAAATATATAAAAGAATTTTAATATAATATAAAATAAAACATCTAATATACAAGGATCTCAGTGTGAATTTAGTTTTGCGTGTGTAGGCACTGAGGGTATTTTAATTATACCATCGTGCTTTCGGTCAGGCCCACAATAGGGGAAAGCAGATCGGATGAGGGACGAGACTCGACATACATCACAAATTAAGGTGCCATGAGCGGTAAGATGACGCCTTAGTTATTAAAAATAAGATGAATCACCAAAATTGTACAAACAGAAAAATTCGATTTTTAATATACACCAAAAAAATATATTAAAATAAAGTAGGATACTCATTATGGCCCACAAAGATTGGGCTATTATTTTGACCAATTTCATTATCACCTAAAGTCTAGTTGATAGCTTAGCCATTTATTGAGGGAGGGAAAATAAAATTGATCAAAATAATAGTCCAAATTTGGTACTCTTCTACTTTACATTAAATGTTATTTCATTCATATTATAAATATTTATTAGTCAACGACAGTGATGTAAAACAACGATTAACTTGGATGTAACTCAATGAGTTTTTTGGCACAATAAAAATATATTATATATTAAATTAAAAGTGAAATAAATCAGAAAAAGTTTCGATTAATTTCAAGTTTGTTTAAGATTCTGTAATACTCGAGCAAACAAATGGTTGCAATATTCGAAGAGAACATCTCACACGACAGCTCTAATCCACTCTTGTACTAGAGATTATTCTTGTCATCTGGGACAATACAACTGCAAGCACAATGATGAAAGGATAATCTTTTTTGTAATTTTGTAAAAAATTCTTAAGAACTAAGTTTAATCACAAAGAAAAAATTATTTAAAAGTTATAAAAACTTTAAACACTTTTCCCGTCTGTTGTTTAATAATAATTATAGATTTTAATTGTAAAATTAAATTAAAAGTAATTTTGTAACTTGAAAGCATTTAGGAAAATTAAACTAATACAAAGTAGTTAAAGCTAATTCCTGCGATTATCTCGGTTCTGTGATAGTTCCTGAGAGGTTTTGACAGGTCTTTAATCATTTTGACAATCATATTAATTATAGTAGCTTTATCTCTTAAAGCTTTTAAGGGGTAAAATGAGACAATTTAGAGTTTAATTAATTTTATCTTAAGATTATTTCGAGATTTATCCAATCTCACGAAAGCAGGGAATATATTAAAAATCTCGTTGCCTAATTTCTTATTATTTTGCGACTCGTTACGCGGGATTAGATTTGTTTAATGACTTGTAAAATGCCATAAATTTGCTGAATCTATTATTAATTTTCGTTTGTATTACTTAAATTTTCTATTGATTTTAAATTATATATCATATCACAATAGGAATACAAAGGAAACAGAATCTTATAAAAACGCCAATATACATCACTAGTATACTCGCGGTTGATATGTAAATAACTAATTTTTAAAGTTTAATTTACGTTTTAATAAACTGTATATTAAAAATAAGTATAGAAGGTTGGGTGTCCTAAACGGTTAATACGTCAGTCTGCCTCTCAGAATGATCCGGAATCGAATACAGGAGTCCTCCCAGGAGTCATCTCCTCCTTGGCAGATTACCCCATGTGTTGCGTTGCCTTATCAAATCATACCCTTCTGTTCTGTGGACACTAAGAGAGACTTTGTCAAATCCATAGTAGATAAGTCTAGGACCACAACGTGGCGGTCGGGTGGTGAGGGATGGAGTCTGACAATTATGGGACAGACTATTCCCTAAGAATTTCTGGGGATTTTTGACCTGCCCACACCGATCCTGGTTTCCCTAGAGATGTAGGCTGTTGCCTTAACCGTCTCGGCTATCCGATCGGCTAATTGATATATTATATAGATATTTATTGTTGAGAAATCTTAATATTTGAATAGACCATAACATATATTTACTATACATATTAATTAATTATGATTAATAGCTGCAGGATAACATTAACGAACTGTATCATTAATCGCTGGTTAATTTAAATAATTCCATTTAATAATTTCAATTTCATTGTTTCTTGTTGATATTATGAATACTTAAAATTAAATTAGACCCACTTATTTAAAAAAAAAATCTTGTGTATTTACAGTAAAAACAATTGAAAATTTAGTTAAATATTTTATAATATAATTTTATTTTATGGTAATTAAATATGAACTATCGCATTTATACACATAATTAGTTAAGTGACCGAGTAAACGAGCAATCCAGTTGAATATATAATTATGTTCAGCTTTAAAATTATAAAAAATAATAATAGTAAGTAACATAACTTTAATTTCAAAGTGATGTTGATATTATGGGATAATTATAATCGTGTATTTTTGTAAATAGAACGATAAAATATGATACATGTCAAATTTTCTTACCCCACTGAACACTGTTTGTTGGTCTTAGGTTAGCGCTTCACCAGAAGGCTGGAGTTTTTCATGTTTTTTTTTCGTGTGCACTTAAATAGAGGCGTTTCCCATAGAAAGCCCTCCCGGGAGGCGCCCCTTGTGTTGCGTTGCCATCTCCATCAAACAACCCCAAACCAAACTAAATTTTCTTATTTTTTTTTAACTGCACATAACACAGGAATGCCGAAAACTACAAGAAATCAGGTTAAATGGGATTCTTTAGAAAACGAATTCAATTTTATCTTGAATGAATTTAAATATTTGATGTTTAGAACTAGGATTATAATCCTTTCAAAAGATTTTGTATACTTTATTTTGAATTTATTTCCTCTTAAATTCAAGTAATCATTCTCGAAGCGAAATTATATTATCAATTAATTCCGTGCTATTGCATAAACAGGAACAAGTTAATTGATAAAACATTTTATTCAAAATTTTATCAACATAATTTTCCAATTAATTTAACTAAAGAGTAAAGTTCGTTAGAAAAACAAATGGTTTTCTAGCAATTTCAAAAGAGTAAATTGCAAAAAGATACTATTTATGCTTCTGATTATCAAAGTTTATCTTAACAACTAAATTTAACTCTATTAGTAATACAGGGATGACCAAATCTTTGGGATAAAGATGGCTTATTAGTAAATTTTCACGTGTAATCCTTTTGTTTTTCTAGCCCACAAGTGGCCGAGTGGTTTTATCCATTCGACCACTTGTGACAGGTGGTCGTGGGTTCAGCGCATCACTTAAGGATTAGACTGGGTTTCCTTCACCTTAGAAGCTAGTTTCTCATTGAGTATGCTCCAAGGAGGCATCGCCTTTGCAAGTCGCCCATGTGTTGCGCTGCGTTATCCCACGAAACCAATCAATATTTTTGCTCTGAGAATATCAAGTCTGATTTTTTAAACATCTCAGTATTGTGTTCATAACCTGAACCGTTGTCTTGTAATTTCTCAATGCTAATTATCTTTTCTTTAAATATACTTTGTCTTTTATGGACCGTCACAGAAAGAAATCAAGGTGATTTCAAGAGACTTTGATGACAAAATCCAGAGAATCCAGAAATCTTTAAATGGAGATGTAGGAAGCAATATATATGTCTTATAACATTTTTGCTATACGAGAGACCAGGCATTACTCAGCAAATCCCTCAGAAGAGGGTGTAGTGTCCCCTTAAATCCGTCCCTACTTGGCCATGTAATTGATTCATCTCGACAGATCCAATGATTTTAGAATTTCTCTTAGAGGAAATTACCAAGTTCGGGAGTTTTTTAAATATATGTTATAGTTTTTCCTGTATTGAGTTTCTTAACCAGGTGAATAAATGATGAACAGACTCTGTGCAATCTTCATACGTACAAAATAATGAATGGCATAATCTAATTATGTTGTAGACTTCTTGGACTACTTTTGATGGCTAATCAAATTGGATAAATGTTATTTAATAACATTGGTGAGCAAATTTGTCAAGCAACGTAATTGTTATCCATTGCATGACTGAAACTTGATAAATCGTTTCCTGTTAGATGAAATGGTTATTTATAATTACCGCACTAGCATTTGTTATAATATTATCTACCTAAAATCTATCTAATACTTGCTATTAAATTAGACATTTGATTTAGAGAATATTTTTAAAATTTAGCTCTCATGAAAAATGAACTTCGTCTCATATTAATTTTAATTATTTTATCAGATGCGAGTAGTTGCAATAAATATAAATTAAATTAGCTTCTAAAATTAATTTTCAAGAAAATAATAAGTGCAAAGAAAATATTTAAATTCTTTTATAAGTATTAAATAATGTTTAAAGAAATAATAAATTTTGAATTAAATATCTAATCGAAGTTCCGTTTTGTCTATAAATTTAATAATTTATTTATAGTACTTATGACCGAGGGGATACAACCACTGAACATTGGTAGTTGGTCGCTGGTTTGCATCTCGCCAATACTTAGAAGAAAACTCGGAAAACTCCCCGTGAGTTTTCCGAGTTTTCTTCACATGCCTAACACCTAAATAGAGCCAATTTCTTTATAGTATCTCTGAGGCAGATTGCCCATGTGTTGTGGTGCCGTGTTCCATCAATCCAATTCTTTCAATATCTATATTATCTGTTAATGTTTAGCTGTATTAAAGGATGGAAATGATTTCTTCTCAAACCTCGAGAGCTTTATTCATCATCATTTATCAACATCACTATCAATTCACATAAAGGAAAACACTTGTTTTGACATAACAATATCTCTAGCCATTACTTCTCTTTTCCAATACTTGGTTGAAATTTGTTATCTTTAATGCTACTATTTATGATATTGATTTAGCAAGTTATTTACATTATTCATTTCTTTTACATTATAATTCATAATCTTGAACAAAAGCTTAGTTTTTTTAAATTGAAAAATACGAGTCTACACCATTTAAGTTTAGTTGCATGTGCTAGTTTTTTTTTTTTTGAAAATTTTTATACATAACACTAAATATTTTAAGAAATTTAAAAATTTATGGCACAAAAATAAATAACAAAACTTTAATATTTAAAATCTTTTACGCTTTTTATTAAATAACTTTATAACTTTTCTTCCTTTGACGTTTATATTTTGTTGCACTTCTAGACAAATTTCTATTTTAAGCTGTTTAATGATCAATAATTAATATTGTTAGATATTTTATGATAGTCGATGAAGTTAGATATTAAATTATTTATAAAGGATATTGAAATTTATTTTAACAGAAAGCTGAAAAAACAGTAATAACATTAAAGTAAATTAGTGTGATGTAGTACAGCAATTTATTTAATGTTCAATCGATATTGAATATAGTCTAACAATATTATGTCTCAGGAATTATATTTAATAGCATCCTTATTTAATTTTAATAAAAATATACAGGATGTTCCGTAAATCTGGAACCGTAGGTTTTACTTTAATCTTTGTTTATTCTTTTACAGGTAGATTACGAATATCAAATATGCTTCTATCTTACATTGAATTACAGAAATTTATTAGTAATTTTTTAAAATATTAATTATTTTATAAACAGTAAGGAGTTTTTATTAGTTTATTAATAAAACATTGGATAATTTTTTATATGAAATTTGTGTTTTCATTAGTATTTAGATTTATTTTAGTAAATCCTCTTAATTAATAGCAAAGATGAGATAATGATCATTGTTGAATAGCTAAAAATATCAACTCGATTACATTGTTGTTAAGATTAAATTTGATATTATAATTGTTTTGTATTTAATTATAATTTCATCTTAATTAATTACGGTTAAATTTAAGCGTATAGAAATATGAACTTCATTTACTAGTTACACTTGAAACTACCTTTAGATATTTATTTCCATTATTTATTTTTTTCTTTTCATATTTACATGGGAATAAACGGCATCAAAACTACTTTAAGTTTAATTATTTTCACTTTACTTTCACTATTTTTTCACAAAATACTTTTTATTACTGATTTTTAACATTTTAAAATGAATTATTAAAAAATTAAGGTAAATTTTTAGGGGTAAATTTTTAATATATGCTGTTAACAAATGTATTTAAAAGGTTATAATGTTTTATATGACTCTTAATATTTGACTTATCTTAAATATTTTAAAGGAACTTTTAATATTCTCTGGATTTACTGTATCTATATATAGAAAGATAATAACTGTATCCCTCATAGAATGTCAAGCTTAGTCAATAGAATGACATCAATAATCTTAATTCTAAACATTTGTGTGAATCCGAAGGTAAACTGTCAAGAATTCCAAATTAATAATAAATCTTATTTATTGATCATTTTACATTGTAGTCATAACAGTTTCCTTTCATATTAATCTGTAACAACATAGACGAATCATTTGTTCCCCCCTGCAACATTTATCCTATTTATTTTAGAGATTTTAGTCTTATCTTAACGATCATTGTAGATTCCTATTAGATCAATTGAAATTAAAATCCGTTTTGCATTAAATAATGTAAATTTTGTTTATTTACAGCCTTGTAATGGAAGTTTATATCATATTTAGAATAAATTACAATGTTATTAATTAAAATGAAATTTTTCATACTTTTGCAGCTAGGAAGGCAGTCTTCAACTTCCAATAATAAACCTCTTTTGTCGACATAAAGAAACGGAATAAAGAACTAAAAATATATAAAAATTGTTACAAACCTCCTGGAGTGAGGTTTGGGACAGTTTTTATGTAGGATTATGGAAGATGGAGTGGTATTTTTCAAGTTTTTGAGAATAAAGAACTATTTAATAGTAAATAAATATTTTTGAAGAGAGTCGTAGTCTAATATTCTATTTTATTAAAGTAAACTCACATTTTATTTTTAATTTTTTGTAAACATATAAATGAACTATCATTAATTCTAACTAATATAATTAATACACCATACATAAAGCATATTTTAAAGATCTAATCAATATAAACTCAAATTATTTCCTAAAAATTTATGAATTTATAAATTTATTGTTTACTAGCAAAGAATGCTCAACGTTGCCCGAGAACTCAGGAAAGGATTGTGTTGTCCTCGTTATAAGGTAGAGTTTGTTTCCCACAGGATGACAGAATAATTATGGAAAATTTGATGCAAATCAATCAAAGGATTTGGCAATTTGTGGGGATGAAATCAGGGAAAAGGAGTGAGGGTCCGAGTGTTAAAGTAACCTATAATTTTTGGAGAATCGTAGAGAGTAACTATTTAAAATTTGTCCAGATCGTTCAAAACATTAGGGAGTTTGGTGATAAGGGAATGAAATCAGAGAGTGGGAACGAGAAATTAAAGTTTTATGGTAGTTTATGTTTCCCATAGGATACAGAGGGTAACTACGCGGAATTTGATCCAAATCGGACAAAGGGTTTGTAAGTTTGAAAATGAAATCAGCAGTAAAGAGTGAGGGATCCTTGATACGAATGTATTTTGTGACAATTGTGACTTTTTGGGCGTTTTATTGCCAATAAGGCTTACTCACTCATGTGTACACCTGAAAATTAATCAATATCTAATAACATAAGACAAATTCTTATTTTAAATAATGGCACGGTAAGGTTAATATTAAAACAATAAACACATAAAAATATTATAGATGTAAGCACAAAAGTTCAGTTTCATTTAAGGGAAGTAAATTAGCTCCTTATAGTTGTATCTGATAAAATAAGAGTATTATTACAAGAGACGAACGACCAAGACGATATAACAAAACATACACAGTGGCCCGAACTACACGAATCAAAACAAACTGAATAAGATAATAAGTTTAAAAGAAACCACCAGAGGTGAAGGCGATTGACCTTGAACGGAGTACACAAATGCCGCGGTAAAAACATCGTTCTCGGGCATTTTTATTTCTTAATATAAAAATAGTATATAGCTCATGCTCATCTGAAAGAAATAAGCTTTCCAATAGCGTAAGATTTTTAAAAAGTTGGTTCAGTAGATTTCGAGATTACTTCCAGCAAACAAACAAACATTCTCGCTTTACGTATTAAATGTTACGTATTAGATGTACATAATATAGATAAGTACAGTACTGTACAGTCACTTGGTATTAGAGCGCCATTTTCTGGTCAAGTCGTAAGTTGCTTCTTATGTTGTGTGCATATTAAATATGATAATGCTTTGTTGTTCCGCGTATATAAATCCTCAAATCGGACATCCGATAAATTAAAGTTATTTGCTATTTCTTCTGATGAGAGAAATCGTGAAAGAAAAATATATCCAGAAAGAACTTTCTACCAGTGATACATTCTAAACTTTGTGATTTAAGTTTAATTATAAGTTTTTGTTTGTATTTAAATGAGAAAATAATTGCGTAATGTAACATTTAATTACATTAATTTATATTCGCCATTTAATTGAGTAAACAATTTATATTATGTAATAAAATGAAATATGTTTAACTAATATCCTTCGTTATCATTAAAGTACTTAATTTCTGTGTTATAAAATATTTCTAATTTCTAATTATAGAAATTAACTTTGGAGTATAAAATGTTAAATTATAACATTTTATATTCTTATCAAATTATATATAGATTAAAGTAGAAGTTACTTTTAGATATTTCCATATATATATAATACATGCATACACATCATTTGTCTAAAAGTAACTTCTACTTACAAGGACACGGCCAGTCGTTCGAATCGGACACCCGAACGACTGGCCGTGTCCTTGTAAACTTGGTGAGCACCTAGCCCTAAACACAAACAGCTCCTTGTCCAAATAATAGGACCCATTTCTCAAGCGTTTCCGATTATCAGTCAGCATGCTTAGTGATGACACTCTGAATGACATTGCAGAAGCACTCTCACATAAAAATTAATCACGTTTCCTTTATATGGAAACGTGATTATTTTAAAGCATATAAAAATGAAATGTAAAATGTTATGTACTTCTAACTTGTAACATTAAGGTAATACTGTATATTATTGAATTTATATTGTTCGAACGATCCGTTATTAAGAATTATGTTGTACAAAAATTTGTCGCTGAAAAAATTATATGCCAAACCCAAAACTGCTGTCAAGTGCATACAGAATAAAACTGTTCGTAAAGGACACTTCTAAATAACGGAACCTTTAATTAACGAGCATTTTATATTATGTCACAAAACTTTTACGGGAATAAAATTAAAAAGCTTTCGATGGTTTATAAGCTTAAATTACATTTAATAGCTAAAGTGATGTATATTTTAAACCTTTTAGAGTATAAAAATATCAATTTAATGAAGATTTTTAAATATATATACACATATTCTATTACTTTTAGATTATTTTGTGTAAATTTTACTAATTTTATTGACACAGATTAAAGTTCAATTAACAATTGTTGCTAGTAGTAATCAATGGCAAAAATGGACTTCTACATTGTCACGACATTTGGTGTATAATCGAGTAATCTCAACCCCTTCAACGTCTTTGAATGAAGAGTGGTATCACCTGTATTCTTACACCAAGCTTATCTCCTTCGCTTATCCGTGGGGTATTTCCGGTTTCCTGTTGTTTCTGGCACGTCATGGGGTCTACAGTTGACGAGTCCTTTTCTATTCCTATTCTTATTTCACTACTTTCAGGTTTCTGCAAAATGTCCTCAGTGTCCATTATGTCTGCCCACGATTTCTTCGTCAGTGCAAAAGCATAACTGTTTTTCGGACAATTCTCAAGAGAATTCCCATATATATAGCAATTAATACATTTTATTGCGGAACATTCCCGCCTTAAATGTCCGAAGCTATTACGCTTATAGTACATTTGAGGCCGGCCAGAAAGAATGACCAATCCGGTTATCACTTTTACCTTTATGAAGTAAGGGAGACTCCGAGTTTAAATTTGGTTTAAGTTCTAGTAAAATTCTCCGTTTGCTCGGTAAAACGTGTTCCAGCCGGAGCCGGGCACCGATGATTTTATATAGTTTGAATTAACAATCTTTCCCAAAGTTTATATAATGTCTATTTACTAATTAATGCGAAATCTCCGGTGGAAGCCAGTGGATGATAATAGAGATTTTTTGGTATATTAATGATATTACATCTCCTACTTTTAACTTCCATGAACTTCTTGTTTAATAAAGCTTATACACAGTTTTCGGTCTTCAACGTAATGGTAAACATGTGGCTCACAACTGTAGCACTGAAGTGTAGCCTATAATACTGTATTTCGTAAATCAATTAATTCTCTTAAACACGATACGAAATCTTGAATACTATGAGGTCCGTTAGATGGGTCAACAATGAAGAGTAGTGTTCTTTTTCCAATCAATATTACTGGAAAAATTCAGCAACGTAAAATAGCTTCTGTAGACAAAGAGCTAGGCCTAGCAGTGTTCGCTATAAGATAGCGTGACCATTCGTTTTCGATTTCCGGGGACAGTGCACACCCTCTGTTCCCAGTTTTTCGTTTCCTTGTGGTTTCTGTAATCTTGGCACTGTCACTGTTTTTGCCAGAGAACGTGTTCAATGTCTTCGGCATTTCCAGATAATTTTTTAAATGGAGTAAACAATTTTTTGAGGAAATGCCAAAAAAAGGAGCCAAATTTTAAAACGAGAACGAACAATTATTTTTGACATGGTCACAATGCCAGGCTTCAATTTTTCGTCACAGTGTTCTTAATTTTTTTAGTAGTGTTTTGCACCTGTACATCATACTTTTCTTGTTAGCAATAGAGTTGTGTTAACTATCTATTTGATTCTTTTCATAGGAAATGTTTGAATTGAAATAACGTGACTTCTGGTGCAAATCGGATGTTCTTATATAGTTAATCAGGGTCTCCTGTCACAAAGGTTCCTATATCTCATCTAAACTTTCATCTATCTAACTCTGTTTTAGAGATTAAGGAAGTGCAGACAAACAACAGAGAGCCAGACTGATGACAGTAGAAATTTATACATCTAACAGTTTCTTCAAACTGCAGCCCAACAAAAATATAACTAATATTCGCGAAAAGTAAATAGCTATGAATCTTATTGGAGGAAAGCTATTTCATTGAAGTAAACGAGCTCAATCAAAATTAAAATGTTCAGGAGTATGTACAGTCCCATTTGACAGTATTTATACATGTAGGCTGCTACTGTGCACACCAAAACATGACGATTGACATGTGTCCCCGGATTTGCCGAAAAAAATCTGGTCACCCTAGTTTAGGACTATGTGCTTGCCAAGTTTTATTCGAATCGGAGACCCGAACGCCCGGCCGTCTCCTTGTTAGATTAAATAATTAATTTGAATGTCTGTTTTAAATTGTATAATTTGAATAATAAACCAATGTTGATATAATAATAAATTTTTGTAGAATAAATACTGAGAATTTAATTTAAAATGTAGTAATATGTAAATATTTCATCTGCAAAAATTTTTTTGCGGATGAGTTGGATTGAATTCTACATAATTCTTTACATTAAGCTGAATTATTTATTGTATAGAACTAAAGCAATTTATAAGTTTTTACCTTCTTTGTGTATTTAGGCTCATTTTACATATCAGTTAGTTTGTTTTGTTAAGTTATGACAACGCAACATTTGGGCGATTTGCCTAAGGAGGATGCTTTTCGGGAGGTCTTTTTAAGGGTAACTGGCCGCTATTTAGGCGTTTCAGACGTGGAAAAAAACGTTTGGCCATTGGTGGACCTTATATAAAGTAAAAATACATTAGATCTTCAAGGTTTGTACTGAAATGTTTATAAATTTCATTACTTTTTAGTGGACAGGCTTTCTCACAATACAAAAGAAAATTCTTTTAGCAGTTCGTGCCAAACATTCAATTCCAAAAAATGCAGTAGAATTTAAA